TTGTTGCTACCCGAGTGTCCTGGATGGAGGTGTCCTTCTCTGCCGTGTAAGTGAGATCCACCACTGAGACATCGCGAGTTGGCACGCGGAAGGCCATGCCAGTAAGCTTACCCTTGGTGCTGGGCAGCACCTCACCCACGGCCTTCGCGGCCTCCGTCGCGGAGGGACTGATGTTGCACGCGGCTGCGCGACCTCCTCGCCAGTCCTTGGCAGACACACCGTCCACCGTCTTCTGCGTGGCGAAAGTAGTGTTGCGGACGGCACGGTGACAAAGCCGTGGCCGACCAATCACCGGAGTCTTAAGCCTGGGCCCAATGTTTCGCCACGGCAGTGAGGGTCAGCAGAGCCTGCTGACCCTCACTGCTGTGGCGAAACGTTTAGGCATGGATGGTGGTCATCGGGCCCTTCTCGATGCCGACGCCCTCCTTGAGGAACACGTGGCAGATCGGGGCAAGGCAGTTCGTGGTGCAGGAGGCGTTGCTCACCACGTGATGGTTGGCCTTCCACTGCCCCAGAATGCCCCCGAGCCAGATTCAGCAGAAGAACGATGCCACACGAATAAACTCTACAAGTAAGAACTTCCACATTAGATGGCGCCGAGCGACAGCAAGTCAAGCAAAGAATGGGTGGCCTTGTCCTACGCCGTGTGGTTCACGCCGCAGACCAGCGTCTTCCTCGGCCCGCAGACACCAGTAACAGTAGCTTAACACAACTGATACGGCGTGCAAGCTCAGAACAAAGATAGGAAGACAAGCCGATTGCTCCGATTCTGACAACTAAGCGTGCATAGATAGACTTTATGAAATGTCTAGACATAAAGCGCGAAGACATCTCCATGTCCAACGCCCCAACGCCTGGGCGAGTTGTATAAAGATCGGCTCGCAGCTATCAGATAATGACCCCAAAACTGACACACGTGCGAAGATGCTGGATCAGGCTATCCCGGAGTCGCATGCGCTCCCTTTACATCTCTCGCAACTTACACGCCTGTGTCCTAGGCGAGTGGAAACTATGAACCTAGGTTCTCGCTCGCCGAACACGTGTCCTGAGCTCACAGAGAGACTGTGGCAGGGCTAGTCCGGAAAGGTACATATGCTGGTACGGCCTTTGTGACCTGTACTACACGGTGGGCGACCTCTATACAGGTTTGCGATTACAGCGCCCGCGGCTGTCCGAAGCCTTTTGCAGTGCCGCAACGAGTCTCACCGGGCCTGATCCCGCCTGAGAGCAGAGGCACAAGCTTTTCTCTGCTGCAAGACAGCACAGCACGGAGCCTTCAGGTCTCTCGTGAGCTCACGAGTGGTCCGTGTCTTTCCTAAGTTTCGGAGGGGAGTCATAGTCGTGGTCGACGTCGGAGTCACAAAGCACCACACGGGTGGCAGAAAAGGAACGAAGGCAGCAACGAGGGTCCTAGGGGAAGGGACAGGGGGCACGCAAGGGCGGCAGGAGTCGCCAGCACAGCCTACTGCGAATTAACCTAGGGGGAGAGATCGAAGTGGCACACCAGAGAAGCGCTAACAGCAGCCTGCGCAATCTACCGCCGAAGGGGCGCCTAAGGGGAAGCGGCGGCGCACAGCAAGCGAAAGACCACGCAGGAGCAGCACGGCCTAATCATCGGCATTGGCTTGCTGCTTTGGGTCCTGAGGAAACTCGGGGACTAAACCCAAAAGCCCCGGGGGACAGCAGACCCAATCTCGGCGATGGCGCTGAGCAGCGAACCATCCAGAGGAGTCGCGCAGGTCTTGTAGTCTTGCGCATTCGGCAAAACGATGCCGAGCACTGGAGACTTGGTGGAAGCCATTTGGGCGAGAGTGGCACCAAATCCGCGAACGGGTCTTGACAGCCCTTAATCACCATCTCAAAACTGGCTATTCGACCACACCAACCTCGCAGCTCGGAATAGTTGGCGGGGAAAGCTGTTATCATCATTATTTTCACGGCTAGTCATCGGTCTTACGATCGTCATTATAAGCAAATGGGTTAACAAAAGTATATTGTTAAGACTTACATGCAGTTAGTCTGTGCCAGGCGAGTAGCAACGTCCAGCTTGGCGCCAAGCAAGCCGTGATCGCAAATGGCCTCGCGACTTGGTCTCAATCGGATCGAAGTTATTTGAGGATCGGCAAGCAGGTTCTAGGGGAGTTACGATGCTTTACGGGGGTTTCGTTCAGGAATCTCCTGATGATTTTAGCAAGGTCGAGGCTCTAGGGCTCCAGGGAGGTGGGGTTGGGCTCAGGTTCGAGTCTTACACCTGGGGTTCTAGCACCAGAGGCAAGCGCTGCTCCGTTTTGCTGGCCTCCATGCGGAGTCCTCCAACTTTTGAAGCTTTATGGGCAGAGGTACGGCGAAAGGTAGTTTAAGTGAGGTCGCAACAAACAGCAACTGCAGCAACCTTCCTTGTAGCACTACAAGCAACTTCCCCCTGAAACCTTCAAGTAAAACCCTAACCCCAATGCACTAAACCCCTAAACTCCCAAACCCTTGACATTAAACCCTAAGCCCCTAACCTCCCCCCTCCCACACCCTAAACTTTTTAACCCCTCAAGTTAAACCCTATACCCCCTAAAAACCGCAGGAAGCTTCCGATCCTCCGCAAGGCTTCGAGCCCTGCCCTAAACCCTAAACCC